GTAAATAAATAACTGAAATAAAATTAACAATGTTATCATACATACAACTGCCTGCTTTGTTACAAAATATAAGGGCTATAACCACTTTAAAGCTACACAACTATCAAAACTATAAGTCAAATTACGGTAACAATTAGAAATAAAAAATTATTAAAAAAAATATAACAGGTGCAATAATTTATATCATCGTACGTCGTAAATATTTTAATCACCTTAATATAAATCTGTCTTATACTTAAAATACTTTTATACCTTATTGCTGAAATTGGTGTAGTTGAACTTTTAACAAATGAAAAGGATAAACAATTGCAAGAAATGCCTGAAAAACCGGTATGAAAAAAAAACTAAGTATAAAAAGAGAATCTCAATCAAAACAAAGACATTAAAAAAATAAATAAATAAAACGAAATAAACAAATTGTTAAGTCACTTCAGTTCAGAACTTGTTGCGCTAAAAAGCCAGTTAAATACATAATTTAATTTTAACTCAGATCAAATTCTTAAAACAAGGGTTTTAAAGTAATTTTATGAAAATTTAAAATTAACACAGCTGCGCCTGAGATTAAGATATCATTCAGTGGTTGCAAAACTGAAAAATTAATTGAGGGAATGATTAGGAGTTACGAACAGCAAAAATAAGCAACCGGAAACGTAACAAAAATAAATAGCTTTCGCGAAAAGTAGAAAAATAGAAGAATGTTAATTTTACGTTTTGCTTATTTTGCCATATCTCGAGAACTTTTAAAGCGAATTTAAGAGTTTTTGAATACAATTATAAAATTTGTTTATCCAAAGATTCCATACAAAATAAAATTTTTAGTAAATATTTATTATTATTTTTTTTGTTTATAATTATAGTCCAAAAAATTTGAATTGTGATTTGTAAATTTTTTACGTCATCTTAGAGTATGTAATTTTACTTGGCCAAATACAAAATTTGAGCGAAATAGATTGAATAATTCTAGAGAAATCAAATTTTAAATATAAGATTTCTTTATAATTACAACCGATTTTGCTCAAATTTTATATATTGCAATTTAAAATAAAATTCTTTAAAATAATGTAAGAAATTGCATACCTTACAATTCAAAAGTTTTTTTGTGGCTGCTATTAATAAAATAATAAATAATGATAATATTTACTTAAAGTTATATTTTGCATGGAATGACTTTTAAATAAATGAATTTTAAAGTTGTGTGAATTTTTTTTTTAAATTCCTTTAAAAATTTTCCGAGATATGGCGAAATGCGCAAAATTTAAAATTAACATTTAAAAGGTCCGAAATTTGGATTGCTCTCCTGACCAATGGGAGCCATATTCTATATAATATGAGCTAAAAACTTCACAGTTACTTGCAAAAATCAGAAATAATTCAAATTACAATTTTTAAAAATTTATCAATAATCATTTTTAGAAAATAATTTGTTTTAAAAATTCGCAAAAAAATTTTGATTCATGACAAATGTAATGTTGTGGTTAAATATTTTGTTTTTTGCTATAAAAATTAATACATTAATTTTTAACTACAAAACACCAATAATTCACTTTTTTATTCCTTAATTAATATAATAATTATAATATCTGAAAGAATTAATTTTGCTATGTTTAGTACAATAAAATTTGAGTTCATAAGAAAATTTTATATTTTTCACTTTAAAGTAAGATTCAAACTTAAGACAAATTTTAAAAATAAATTATCAATAACATTAATGTTTACATCAATAAAAATCCTTTTATAAAATTACATTCTTTCAAAACTAGTTTTAACCGACTGACACAGCATCGTTTATCTCCAAAACTAATTATTTTATTGAAATCTTGTACACGTTTAAATATTTAAACATAATTTAATGAGCACCAATTTTGTAGAGTAAAGCATAATCTAACTTTTGCAAAACACAATTTTTTTCGACTTCAACTCTTTACCGACAGGTGGTCAAGAGATTGTTTTATAATATTGTTAAAAACCTTTTATCGTATCTTCAACTCCTAACAGCAATAAGAGACAAAGGCTTTGAAATTATGTAAATATCTTGGAATATACTTTTATGAAGAACTTACTTTAAAAATATTTGAAAAAATAATTCATAAAAAGGTTTTGATCATGGAATGGACACTGCATAACAAACGGGTTATAATTGATACGATACTTATACGAATTGATATTGGAGAAGGAAATCGCCGGCAATTCAACGAAGTTTGGGTTTGTAAAGTATTCTTTCTGTTCGGTTGCACATGACAGGAAAATCATCGAAAATTCGTACACTTGGTACAATAATCTAAATAAACACGACATAAATATGATAGTTATGAAAACTCTTTTTCGTTGATGTGGTCGCTGCCATTTCAGCAAAAATGGGGGTGAAAGATTTCACAAACGCGTTTTTTATCTTTTCATTTAAAGTTGACATGTTTATTTTCTTTTCCTATAATCCTTAAGCTTGAAAAGTTGTAGAAATTAACTTGTAAATAAAAAATGGAACTTCCTTGGGAATTGACCCAGGTTCAAACCCTAGACGTTTTTAACAATTTGACAAAAGGACAAACTACAGATGTCATTTATCAACAGACTTTTAAATCTCATAGAGAAGAATATTCTGACTATAAATCTATCTATACCGATGGGTGTAAAAGTGAAGGTCACACGGCAAGCGGAGTTAAATTTCCCGATTGTACCATTTCAGAAAAACTTCATCCAAACTGCTCAGTATTTACTGCTGAATCTCATGCCATACTCTTAGCACTTCAGTACATATTAACCCAGAAACGCACAAAATTGTTTATATATTCCGATTCAAAAAGTTGCATTGCAGCGCTACATAACCAATCTCCTAATCCTCACTCCATTTTCAATAAAATTTTAGACACTTATGATAATTTGTTACAGGATGGACATAAAGTAACTTTTTGCTGGATCCCAGGTCATACAAATGTAACAGGAAACGAAGTTGCTAACTCAATAGCAAAATTAACAAACAATCTATCGAACAATCCGCTGACTAATTCTGACGTAAAAAAATCAATTCAAAATATTCTCGAATCACAATGGCAAAACTGTTGGAAGAATGAAACTAATAACAAGCTACACGCCATGCATTAAAACTTACATACAGCCTTATAAACAGTTAAACAACAGTCGAAGACTTGAAGTGCTTTTAAACCGCTTGAGTATTGGCCACACACGAATAACTTATAAACACCTTTTTCTAAACGAACCAGAACGCACAAATTGTAAAGAACCTTTAACTGTTATAAATTTTTTGATAGAATGCAGTAAATTTAAAAACCAGAGACTGCGTCATTTTGGTACCTTCTATATCCGTCATTGTTTTCACTAATTGGAGATGATCATCACTCAACATTTTCTCATACCAATCGTGAACCTAGCTGTAAAATATCTACCTAGTTGGAGGCGCGATATAGCCAAGACTGGCTCTTGCGCCACAAACCCAAACCAAACCAAATAAAAAATGTTTCAATGTGCAATTTTTCCCCATCATTTTCTTTTACCTGGTTTACTCTTGACTTGAATGAGTGGCTAAAAGCATAAAAAAACATTCACCAAACATTCACATCGACTTTGACAGAGTTTTTTCAAGCTTGTCAGGGGTCACATGAGTTAATAAAACGATGCTATAATTTGGAATAATTCTAGTTTGATTTCAAATAATTGTATTAATTTGTAAGCATTGTCAGAACACTGTTTTTTTTTTTAAATTCCTCTATATTGATTAACAGAAGATTCGATTGCTTTTGCTATTATATTTCATGATTATCACTGTTTACTTTCATTATTTGTTCCCAAATAAAATGCATTTAAATATCTTTTTTAGATAACTCTAGTTGATCGTAGTTAAAGAATACTAGTGGGCTGCGCCCCCTGCTCGCTAACGCTCGCCAACCCCCGAAAATTGCTATGCAATCTCATATGGTTTGCTTCGCAAACCAAGATCTCTTTGTTCGCTACTAACTTAGGTACATTGCAAATGCACAGAATTCTAAGAATTCAAAACAATCATTCAAATCCATATAAAAGCTTTTTTTTTAAAAAAAAAATTACATCTTTTTAGTAAATACTAAGTCATTAAAATAAATTTGAATTCAAATAAATGACATCCCAGATAGCAATATAAGGTTTTTTTCACCCAACAAAAACCTTTTCATGTAAACCTAAAAAGGGTTTTTTACACGGTTTACGTGTAAACCTTCTAACCTTAAAACGAGGTCTGCGACAATCTGCTCTATTCTACGCACATTACCCTAATCCAAAACCTTGGAAAACAACCTTCTACCTAACAACCTTAAAACGAGGTTGTCTTAGGGTTTTCAGGAGAAAAAGAAAACCTTGAATAACGCTTGTTGTAAGATGAAAATCATCCTAAATCTACATAATTATAAGGTTTCCGTTTGCAGCGTTTCGTATGCTTAGCTAAAATCTACCTTGTCATGAGATTTACATTGACAATGCAATTTAATACTATTGCTAGTGTACGTCAGCTAAAACGTCATTCTGAACGTGATGTCATATCTCCCACGATTGTGTGACGGCGCGTTTCATTATTCGTTTTATATTTTACTTCTTATAGCTTCTCAATCCGAGAAAAATTCTCCTTTCCATCTATTTTGCTAGATTATTTTGAGGAAAACAGTCATTTTTTATCAGTCTGACTTACTTTGCTGTAAGAACTTAGAGATTTACAAGTTAAAATATCGTTTAATATGAAATATTTTTTTATTTGACGATTTGATTAATGAAAACACAAAAGAAATAGAACATTTGTAATACTTAAAGAGGGTCTGCATATTTTCGTCTTTCTTATTCGGAAATTTATGCGGTGTGAGAAGTTTTGATGAGTGCAAAAATGTTCAGTTTTTCGTATATCAAAGAAAATTAACATGAAATATCTTCTTTTGTCAAAATAAATGAAATGCAACTGATTATTTATCTCTTACTTAATATGTATGATATGATAAATGTAGGAAACTTAATGATACCAAAATATTTTTTTAAAGAAATCGTTTAATGAATGTAGAAGCTCCAAGCATATTTTTTTTAACACACAACAAATAAATATTATGATTTTCATAACAATTAGTATATGACAAGTGTATTAGTACAAATCAGATATGCCATAATTATATTAGGTATTTTGTTATCTAAATATATTATCTGTATAATAACCATTAGTGAATAATACAAAACAGAGACACCATAATTAAATCAACTATTTCGTCAATACATAAACAAATGATATTATAGGTATAATAACCACCAGTGAATATACAACATATTTAACATGAAGGAATTAGCGAAACAATCCTCATTGAAATAAATTACTTCCTCGTCAGATATTCTCCTTTCTCTGAAAAATAAGAGAAAATTTTTATGAACGTACTTGCGTATATTGAATGAAATTTTATGCATATACACATGAATTGTATGTACGTACATGGACACAAACGTATATTGTACCTACAGGAATGCATGCATACATTATATGTATACAGGTGCATATACACGTATAAATAAAAGTGCATGCATACACACGTATAAGTAAAAATAGATGCATACACACGCAGCATATAATTATATTTATGTGGTCACTTTAAATATCGTTGTATGAATAACATTGTTATTAAATAGTACATGCATATAGTACATGCACACGTGAGTACATTGTATGTCATATGAACGTAGAATGAATGAATTATTTGTTGAAAACGAAAAGCAGACCACTCTAAAAATTTTTTGATCCAATGATCGGTTGTTTTTGTTGGTCTATGTCGCACTAACGATGAACAATGGGCTATTGGTGTAGAGTTGGGAAACATTCCTGAGGATGATATAAAGACATGTCAACACAATTTTGATCCTCTGCAGACGGGATGGATCTCCTGCTTGCCGACCTGCGAGTGAAATCGAGATCTTAATGGTTGAGAAGTTTAATTAGGATAGATACCGCACACTTTTGGTTCCCTTGTAGGTTGATCAAAGTGATCACCCATCCACACACTGACCGTAGCCAGTGATCCTTGACTTCGGTGTTCTACTGGGAACCGTGTCTTAAAGTTCACTCTACTGCGAGATAATACAATGATCGGATATTTACGTTCTTGAACTCAATTTTAAGGGTTCAAAGGATCTCAAATATGTTAATTAATTAATAGACAAAAATAAAACGTAATTTATCTGAAAAACATGCATTTTCTCGACAGATGCACATTTCTGACCCACAAAATATAGGGCGTAGCCGCACTTTGAGAAATATGGTCCTAATAATAGGTTGGTCAAAAGAGCCGTCCAACGGGTATTCGCAATCCGAAATAAATCGTCCCAATAGTGAGGTCTGAGTCCAAAGCTTAGACTCCTTAATGTTAATTTGACTTTTTGAATATTTTACCATGTCTTGAGAACTTTTAAAACGAATTAAAATAATTTTTCATACAAACATAAATTTCGTTTATACAAAGATATTTCTTTGCAAAATATAACTTTTAGTAAATATTTACTTTTTTTGAATTTTATTTTATAATAGCCAAAAAATTTTTGATTATTAAAGTATACAATTTTTTATGACATTTTAAAGAAGGAAATTTTAAATGGTAAAATACAACATTTGAGTAGAATGGATCGAATAGTTCCTGAAAAATTGAATTTTGAAAAAGTCGCATTTTTAAGAGCTATTCGATTGATTTCGTTCAAATTTTGCGCTTTGCCATTTAAAATTGTTTAACTTAAATTCAAATTTTTTTAGACTATCATTGAATAAAATAATAAAAAATAATTATTTTGACTAAAATTTATATTTTGCATGGAATTAGCTTTGGACAAACGAATTTTTTAATTGAGTGCAAAAAAATTTTCAATTAATTTAAGATGCTCTAAAGATGTGGTCTCATACGTAAAAAATATTAACATTAAGGGGTACAAACTTTGAACCGCTCTTCTGACTATAACTATTGGGACTATTTTTTTTCCAGATTACGGCCACCCCTATAATTTGAGAGTCAAAAACCCAAGAAACACCATAAAAAAGGTATGTTTGTTCAGAGAAAGTATGTTTTTGTGTCTGATTTCGTAACTTAAAATATCGTAGGCACTAAGTAATTAGCATATATGTCATCCTCTCGAACCTTTAAGATTGAGTCCTTGAATGTGAAGATACGATCATTAGATGAAAACTTATTTAGAATGGTCCATTTATTTTTTGCGTATCGTACATACGTATATATACTTTAAGTAGTACATATAAGTATGTATAATCTTATGTACGTTAATTCACATATATGTTGATACGCACATACTTTATATGAATATATAATGTATATATGTATCTATGTAAATGTGGGTAGATTTGTACGCCCGTACGTTTGTACGTATATACACAATTTATATATGTTCAATATATGTACGCATATATTCATGCGCTATGTAATAACGATGTATGCTCTTATGTATAAACAGGGCGCAAAGAAGGGAAAACCCTGAAAATATTTTATCTATTGATCGGATTTTAATATACATACTACTAATCGATCTTATTGGTTTGAATGTCTAACTTTATAAGGGATTCAGTTCCTAGACCCTTAAAACAGGAGAAGCACCTGCCATCTGCAAAATATGGTATCAACAGTTTATGAAGGAGAGCGGTAAAAAGTTTGAATCACTTAATGTTAAAATTCCTTTTTGCAAATTTCGTTTTGTATAACTTTTAAAGCAAATCAAAAATTTAAAATTTGAATGAAATCAATCGAAGTGTTCTTCAGAAATAGAATTTTCTATAAATAGCTTTTTTTTTAGAATTTGACTACCTAGAAACTATTAGTCCGATTTCATTCAAATTTCTCATTTTGCCTTTAAAATTACTTTTTAAAAAATTATGGAAAAAAATTTCTATATTTTGCAATGGAAAGTGTTTTTGACAATTAGTAAATAAAATAAAAAATAATATTTATTTAAAGTTATTTTTTGCATAGAATTATCTTTGGATAAACGAATCTTATAATAATGTGCTAAAACTTCATGATTCGCTTAAAAAAGCTCTTCAAATATAGCGAAAAAGCTTTGTTAACATTAAGAGATCCAAACATTCAATCGCTCTCCTGCCTAAACAACTTTGGCAATATTTTCAGGCTAGAAAACTTTTAAAATATTGACTACCTTCCATATTTTTAGGATCAAAAATTCAAATCCATCGGAGAAAAAAAATCGTTTTTTTTTCACAAAATTTTAACGGTCACAAAAATTTTAATGGCTATTATTCGAAACTTGACAGTATTCGACGATTTTTGATCAATTATAGAGATCAAATTTCTCAAATGAATTCCAATTTCAAAATGAATCACAATTATTCCTATAAGCAATCAATTCTACTTATGGTGATTAGAAAACGAATAAAACATCTATTATCCTGTCTTGAAATTAAAAGTGCTTAAGCTAATCGGAAAATTACCGAAATTACAAATACAATCTTCTAGCCATGGATACACTCGAAAGTGGGTTAAGAAAATATAAATGCTACGGTTGGAAAAAATCAGACTCAAGTTATAGTAATACACCGTTTCTATTTTAAAATCCTGATAAGTAATCTGGAGCCTCATAAAACTTTTTAATGTGGATAAATCTTAAATTTCTGAAATATTATTTTTATTTGTTGGGCTATATTTTGGTATTAATGTAAATCTAACTAACGTTAGTGCTAATTTCCATTTTTTATTATAACTATAAATGTATTGTAAATGCTATTTACTTGAATCTATCGGCAACTCATACATCCAAAAAAATAATAATAATAATAATTAAGGTAAAATAGTAATAACAGTAATAAATTAAAATATTGATAATTAAATTTAAATTATAGTTTCAGTGTTTACTTGAAACTTACTGAAATTAAGAAGGGAGCATAATAACCATTTAATATCCTTTGGGTAAGGCCGTTCCAAGCATAAATTTAAGTTTTAAATTCTTAAGTTAATATTAATTGATAATCTTAAAAAAACAAATAACAATGCTTAAATTAAATACTTAATAAGGCAAATGAAATGCAATTAAACAGCGTACCTACTTTTTATATCAACTAAAGGGAAACATCTTAAACTTGGAAGAATAAAACAGATCATTAAGAAACTTCAATTTTAAACTTAAATCAAGCAAGTAAACTCCAAGATTGTAAATGATCAGTAGCCGTAATATTAGTGCAAATTTGCGCATGACGTAAGCAGCAGTTTTTAAGACAGCATTTTGAGAGTGAAAAGAATCAGGGGTTTACAATAATTTTCAAGAGTTAAATTTAGTGAGATTATTTTTTTTCATTTTCTTTTATTTTTATTACTATTTTTAATTGAATAAGAATATTGAAGTTTGAACATTAAGCATTGCCTCAAAGTTTCGGTACAATAAGGCTAATAGAAGTTTTTCTAGTTTTTAAAAGAACTTCGTTTAAAATTTTATTTATTGCTTTTCCATTTTAATTTTATGTATTTTAGACGTATATTTGTTTGATAATTCAAATAAAACGTTAAAAGAAAGAAAACAGATTTAAAATACTATCTTCCGACTTTTTGAACGACTTAATTAAAATTTAATTAAACAGACTTTTAAACTCCCCCCCCCCTTTAGAAAGGCTTATTTTTCTTTATATTAGTTCCTTTTACATTTTTTTTATTTTAAATTTTTATTTTCAACAGTGTTTCGCCGATAATGTATAGAAAAAATTCTTGACACGAAAAAACTGCTGCAAAATTTCAGGAATGGTTGAACATTTACATACCTGCTAACTTATAAACTTTTTCGAGAAAATCTTTTACAGCAGTGACAAAATTTAAATTAAGAGGTATAAAATTTTTACATCCTTTTAAAATATGTAATTTCACCTGACAAAATGCAAAATTGGAGCATAATCGGTTGAATAGTTTCTGAGAAATCGAATTTTATATATATACAGGAACAATTCGATAGACTTAGCTCGATTTTGTATTTTGCCATGTAAAATTACAGACATAAAGATTTTATAAAAAAAAGTTGTATGCCTAATAATTCAAAAATTTCCAGCAATTATTTAATAACGTAATGAAAAATAATAAATATCTACTAAAGTTTATTTTCTGCATGCAATTATCTTTGAATAAACGAATTTTCAAATTACGTTCAAAATTTTTTTTAACTCGCTTAAAAAGGTCTCTATATATGGCGAAATATGCAAAATATAAAATTAAGATAGAGCCATCCAAACTTTGAGTCGCCCCATGATCAAACTATAGGGACAATATTCCCCAGATTGTGGCTACCCCCTATAATTTGGGGGTTCAAAATCAGAATCCGTCGGAAAAAAGGTATGTTTATTCAGAGAAAACACATTTTTGTGTTTAATTTCGTAACTTAAATAATCGCCTGCACTAATTAATGAGATTACCCCTTCGAAAAATTAAGATTGAGTTATAAAACGTGAAAATTCAATCATTAGATCAAAATCTATTCAGTGTGGTCTGTCTTTTATTTTGCACACTATACATCGAGTTCTGTGAACAAAATGTTCTTAAATTCACTCCAAAGATATGATGAAAAAAACTGTGGGTCTAGGTTTTGAATCCACCCAGTTTTAGAGCGGGTACCAGCTTGTCAGGGAAATAAAGGCGGTAGGTGCACAATGCTGATTTTATTTTCACCATCACTCCTCGTTAGTCATAAATCGTAGAGTCTTAATATCGATGACCCTCTAGCTCACAATAGACAGTTGGGCGAATTTTTTCTGTATATAAATATTTTAAATAAAATTTCTCTTCGCGGATATTTTATTGCTATACCATAACTAGGTTTGCAATAAGGTAAAATGAACGAGAGAAGGCCAGACATTTTAAAGGA